CCACCATTTTTGAGCAATTTTTTTCTAGATTTTGACATTTTTTTGCCTTCATTGGAGCATGTTTTCTAGATTTTAACTCTTAAACTGTTTTAGAGCTTGCGTTTCTCGATTTTAACATTAATATACCTTCATTAGATCCCACTTTTTATGGATTTTAACACTTTTTTTTTTTACTGTTGTAGTGCATACTTTTCTAGATTTTGACATTTCAGAGCATACTTTTCTAGATTTTGACATTTCAGCGCATACTTTTCTAGATTTCGACATTTTCTTTGCCTTAGTTGAGAATGTTTTCTAGATTTTAACACTTAAACTGTTTTAGAGCATGCTTTTTAAAGATGTTAACATTAATATACCTTCATTAGATCTCACTTTTTACCGATTTTAACACTTTTTTTTTACTGTTTTAGTGCATACTTTTCTAGATTTTGACATTTCTCCATTTTTGAGCAAATTATTCTAGATTTGGACATTTTCTTTGCCTTCATTGGAGCATGTTTTCTAGATTTTAACACTTAAACTGTTTTAGAGCATGCTTTTAAAGATGTTAACGTTAATATACCTTCATTAGATCCCACTTTTTACCAATATTAGCTCAAAAATGGATGGAGAAATGTCAAAATCTAGAAATATTTGCTCAAAAATGGTGGAGAAATGTCAAAATCTAGAAAAGTATGCTCTGAAATGTCAAAATCTAGAAAAGTATGCACTACAACAGTAAAAAAAGTGTTAAAATCAGTAAAAAGTGGGATCTAATGAAGGTATATTAATGTTAACACCTTTAAAACGCATGCTCTAAAACAGTTTAAGAGTTAAAATCTAGAAAACATTTTCCAAAAATGGCATTAGTGTTAAAAACTAGAAAAAGTAAGATCTAGAAAGGTGCAGAGAATTTTAAATCTAGAAAATCATGCTTTAATAAAGGCATAGAAATAAAAATCTAGAAGAATAAGCTCTGAAAGGGTATAAAAGTTAGGATCTAGAAAAGTAAGATCTAAAGAAGGCAGAAATGTTAAAATCTAGAAAATGTGCTTTAAAATGGTAAAGAAATGTCAAAATCTAGAAAAGCATGCCCTAAAACAGTTTAAGAGTTAAAATCTAGAAAACATTTTCCAATGAAGGCATATAAAATGTCAAAATCTAGAAAAGTATGCTCTGAAATGGTGGAGAAATGTCAAAATCTAGAAAAGTATGCACTACAACAGTAAAAAAAGTGTTAAAATCTGTAAAAAGTGGGATCTAATGAAGGTATATTAATGTTTAAATCGAGAAACACATGCTCTAAAACAGTTTAAGTGTTAAAATCTTGAAAACATTTTCCAATGAAGGCAAAGAAAATGTCAAAATCTAGAAATATTTGCTCTGAAATGGTGAAGAAATGTCAAAATCTAGAAAAGTATGCACTACAACAGTAAAAAAAGTGTTAAAATTGGTAAAAGGTGGGATCTAATGAAGGTATATTGATGTTAAAATCTTTAAAAAGCATGCTCTAAAACAGTTTAAGTGTTAAAATCTAGAAAACATGCTCCAATGAAGGCAAAGAAAATGTCCAAATCTAGAAAAATTTGCTCAAAAATGGTGGAGAAATGTCATTTCTTAAACTGTTTTAGAGCATGCTTTTAAAGATTTTAACGTTAATATACCTTCATTAGATCCCAATTTTTACGGATTTTTACTTTTTTTTTTTACTGTTTTAGTGCATATATTTCTAGATTTGGACATTTTCTTTGCCTTCATTGGAGCATGTTTTCTAGATTTTAACACTTAAACTGTTTTAGAGCATGTTTTCTAGATTTTAACAGTTAAACTGTTTTAGAGCATGCTTTTAAAGATGTTAACGTTAATATACCTTCATTAGATCCCACTTTTTACGGATTTTAACACTTTTTTTTTACTGTTTTAGTGCATATTTTTCTAGATTTGGACATTTTCTTTGCCTTCATTGGAGCATGTTTTCTAGATTTTAACAGTTAAACTGTTTTAGAGCATGCTTTTAAAGATGTTAACATTAATATACCTTCATTTAAGTTTAGAAGCTTTTGATCCTCTTCTTTTACGATGTGGACATCTTTTAATATTTTTACATCTTTTAGTTTTTTTAAAATATCATTTTCAGTTTTAGAGCAATCTAGAGCCTGTGAAAACTTTTATACAGTTTATCCCTGAGTATCTGTTTGTGCCAAAATGTGAAAGACTTCCGTCAAGACGTTCTGTGCATGTGTGTGTGTGTGTGTGTGCGTGTGCGTGCTCTGACCAGGGTTAAATCCAGGACTTCCTCTCAGCCGTTGGTTTCTCTGCTGAAACGATCTGAACACGGTGTAGAACAACATCTGGTCTCCAGTTTGTCGCGCTGCGTCCAGAAACTTCCTCGCCGACACGTTGTCGTGTCCACCTGCACAGTCAGTTCACGTCAGTGTTAACAGAAGCAATCATACTTTTCATATAACAGTCACAGTGTAGACGACCAGTGGAAGTCTTCATTTCACTGGATGTAGATGAAGTCAACTCATCGTACCGACGCTGCGGATGAACCGGAGCGCTCCTAGAACCTGCTGCTTGGACAACAGAACCTCCACGATCTCGTCGTTGGCCGTGGACAGACGCTGAAAACACACAAACTGTGAACAAACTGAGATTCAAACTGACAGTGTTTGTGTTTTATTGTTTTGTGTTCGATACCTTCAACATGTCGAGTGAGAGCTGGTGAGCAGGAGGATATGTGCTCTCCAGAGACAGAAGCAGACAGGCCTGAAACCAAAGAGACGTTAGAAAACAACCTGAGAGCGACGATAAAGAGCTAATTAGAGAGTAGAGAGAGAGAGCTAGATAAGAGATAATTAGAGAGAGAGAGTAGAGACAGAGAGCTAGATAAGAGATAATTAGAGAGTAGAGAGACAGAGATAAGAGATAATTAGAGAGAGAGAGTAGAGACAGAGAGCTAGATAAGAGATAATTAGAGATAAGAGAGAGAGGGAGAGTAGAGAGAGAGAGCTAGATAAGAGATAGAGACATAACGAGAGATAAGAGAGAGAGAAAGACAAAGAGAGCTACAAGATACAGCAAGGTAATTAGAGGTAAAGAAAGATAATTAGAGGTAAAAGATGAAGAGAGATGAGAGACAGAGAGATATAAGAGATAAACACGAGATAATAGAGATACAATGCAATTATTAGAGATAAGAGGTATAATTAGAGATAATAAGAGAGATAGCAGACAGAGATAAAGAGAGATAAGAGACATAACAGATAATTAGAGATAAAGAGAAACAGAGACAGGGAGAGATAAGGACAAAAAAAGAGATAGATATAAAGAGGGATAATTAGAGATATTTAGAGACAGCAGACAGAGATAAAGAGAGATCATAAGATATAAGAGATAAAGACAAAAAAAAGAAATGAGATATAAAGAAAGATTTAATTAGAGAGATAATTCGAGGTAAAGAGAGATCAGATTAGACAATTAGAGAGACAGCAGACAGAGATAAAGATAAATAAAGAGAGAAGAGATAACGAGAGATAAGAGATAAAGACAGACAATAGAGATAGTGAGATAAAAAGAGATGAGGAGAAAGATAGAGAGATATAAAGAGGGATATTTAGAGATAGACAGAGATTAAGACATAAAGAAAGATTTAAGAGATTAGGGGAGATAAAACATAAGGAGAGAAAGGAGATAAAGAGAGATAATATATAATTAGAGATAAGAGACAGAGCGATAAATGATAAAGCGAGATAATAAGAGAGGGAGATATACAGCTACGGAGAGATAACAGATTAAGAGAGATCTTAAGAGATGATGAGACATAGTAAGATATATAATTAGAGATAAAGAAAAATAAGAGATAAAGAAAGATTAAGAGAGATAAAACAACAAGAGATGAGAGATAGTTAGAGATACAAAGAGATAATATGATATAATTAGAGATAAGAGAGAGAGAGATAAAGACAAAGAGATAATTAGAGATAATAAGAGACAGAGATATAAAGATAAAGACAGGTGATTAGAAATAAAAGATGAAGAGATGAGAGATAACGAGATAATAAGAGATAACGAGATAGTTTTAGATAAAAAGAGATAAGGACATAAGAGAAATAAAGAGAGATAAAAAGAGATATTTAGAGACAGCAGACAGAGATAAGGACATAAAGAGAGATAAGAGATAAAAAGAGAGATAAGATAAAGATAAGAAAAAAAAGAGAGGAGGCGAGAGATAAGAGAAAAAGGCAATTAGAGCAAGAGAGATATAAGGACATAAGAGAAATAAAGAGAGATAAAAAGGGGGATAAAAAGAGATATTTAGAGACAGCAGACAGAGATAAAGACAAAGAGAGAGACAGAGACGGTCAGCGAGGGAAACAGAGAGATTGTCCTTTACCTAAATCAGCTGCCCAGCATTTTACTTTTAATTTCTTTAAAGATTTTTGGTCCCCAATATAAACTAAAAAACACTAAATCCTACATTTCCCATCATGCACCTCCTCTGTATCTGCACCACGGAATCAAAGAAAGTGTGTAGTTTGAACTGACCAGTGGTTTGGAGTCACTGAGGACGTGATACTGGAGGAACTGATGCAACATGTAGAAGAGGTTGTGCTGCACCAGAGTTTTAATCACCAGCTCGTACAAGTAATGCTGCAACACACACAAGACAGGAAGTTACTGAAGCCGGACGTTAACGTTAATGTGAGCGTCGTGAGCGTCAGGTTCACTTTTACCTGAACGGTGATTTGGAACTGGTTCAGAGAGCGAATGTACTCCATCAGCACCGCGATGATGAACTTATGAGACACGTCCTGAAGAGAACACAAAAACAGAATCTTTTTTTAAAAATGTGTTTATATTGGTGTGTGTGTGTGTGTGTGTGTGTGTGTGTGTGTGTGTGTGTGTGTGTGTGTGTATACCTTCCTCTCGGTGAACGATGACAGGACGTGTGTGTACATGTCTGATTGGTCGATGACGGCCTGAGTTCTCACGGGACGTTTCTGAGCGGCACTGCCTCGACTCGGGCCGGACTCCATCGCCTTCAAACACACGACAACACTTTCAAATCAACTCACATCACATAAAAACCCACGAGTGAAGCTGATGCGGTTTTAAAAGCTCGAGAGCTGACGCGTCACGACTCGCTCACCACAGTGTAGCTCTGCTCCGCCTCCAGATATTCTTTGTACACCTGGTTGAGTTTGTCGAACACAGTCGCCACCACAGGGAGACTTCCCTTCTCTCCGGCCTCCAGGACTGACGAGAGAATCGTTCAACGTCATCAGCAACATTTTACACCTTTAACCTTTTGTCTAACAAACTAAACACTAACACGTGCTGATGTATTGAAGTTTTGTTTGTCCTGTTAACTTGTATTTATTATCGAATCGTTTGTCTCCTGTCTCGTTGTTGTGATTTATGTGAACTCGCTGCTGCAGTTTCTCTGTTTCGCTCTGTGAAATAAAAACATATGAAACTGTCAGATAACAGAGGGACGTACTCTGCGAGCAGACGGACAGGATGACCATCTTGCAGTCTCTGCGTCGTAACAGGAAGTCCATCAGTTTGCCTTTGTCCTGCAGCAGGTTTACTGTTGGAGGCAGCTTCACCTGCAGGTACCACAGGTAACCTAACACACACACACACACACACACGTTCTCTCATCAATAAAACTCATTGATCCTAAAGATTCTAAACAGAGAAACATGAACTTCTTAACTCTCCGTGAGTTACTATGAACTCTTTTTACTTTTTGGGATGAGCGTTTACTCGTTCTGTGTCCAATCAGAAAGCTTCTGGAATTTCTAACTTCCTCTCTTAGACTTTACGTTCTGACAGTTAGCGACCGGTGCACAGGAAACTACGCTGTCGCATTCAGTGGTTCAATCCACAGACGTAGGTGAGGGTGGTGTCGAGAAGAGCTCGGCAACAGAGATCAGGCGGTCGACCTGTAAACGACCCACGACAGTTCCTCCATACCTTCATGTTTTTACCAGACACGTAAATATGAGGAATCAAACATGTGACTGTTTGACTGGAGAGTTATTACTGAGTGAGTGTGTGTGTGTGTGAGTCACACCTTCACTGGCACTGATGATGATGTCAGGCTGGAAGACGCTCCAGGAGGAAGAGTCTGGACTGATGGTTGAGGTCAATGTCAATAATAAAACATAATGAAAAATCAACGTGAAATGATTTTAAACGAGTAAAAGTCGAAACATCAAACTAAACGTGCGCTGGACGTTAAAGGATACAGAGCTGACAGGGAACTGGAGGCTGAGAGGGAACGACAGCAGGACCTGAAGAGAAGAGACAAGAGAGAGACAAGAGAGACTCAGAACAAAGAAGAGCTACAAACTCTAGCGCCCCCATCAGACTGGATTATCATTACAGTGAAGGTAACAGGTGACAAAACATTTTTGATCCTGATAATAAAACCGCCTGGTCAGTAAGACATGAACATGTCTCGAACATGCAACAAGCGGCTCCTCTGGGGGGCGCTAAAGACGTCCACAATAAACATCAGAGTGTGTTTACCTGACAGCGGTATCCTGTAGGGGTGTATGGAGCGAGCAGGTAGGACGGGCTGGTGTGTGTTGACGGCACATTCAGGCTCCTTCAGCTTGATGTCGAAGATCAGAGACGTCTGAGACACACACACACACACACACTGTAAATAACACACTCCTACAGTTAAACCACACGATGAAGTTGATGGAGACAAACTGACCTGAGAGCTCTGATGATGAACGACCACCAGGTTGTCTACGATGTTCAGAGCAAACTTCCCCGTCGTGTTCAGCTTCAACACGTGACTCTTTTTACACGCCCCCTCCCTGAACACACGTTATATATCATGCAGCTGGACACGCGTCCCTCACAAACATGAATGTGACCAATGTGTGTGTGTGCGTGTGTGCGTTACCTTGGTAAGTGATACAGCACCACCTCTGCACTCGGACTGTTGGCTGTTCTCGAGTGATGCTTCAGATACATCACATACAGCTGACCATAACTACACACAGAGAGGGGGCGCCGTCAGTGAAACGACAAACTGATCCAACACAAACAGGTTGAAGCTCAGGCAGCAGCTTACATTGTTGCCATGGCAATGTCTCTCTCCGACAGGCTGAGTTTGGCGGGTTTGGGGACGACCGGCAGCTCAATCTCAAACTTGGACATTTTCGACATGGTCGCGTTCTGTTGACACAAACGAGGATGAAAATGAAACACAGGTCGATTTGGTTTTAAAATCTGAAGATTAAACATTTGAGTAAGATTCGGTATCTGTGGAACAACCTAAACATGAAACGAACGAGTGTTTGGACTGTTCTCACCCTGAAGGCGAAGGGCTGCAGGATGTTTCCCTGCACGGTGGTGGACAGCAGGATGACAGCCGTCTCTGGACAGTACTGATACCAGTTCACATTAATGCTCTGACTCTTCAGCAGCTTCAGACTGCGCTTGTCTGGAAACACCTGAACACACACACAGCGTCACAACCGTCAACGTCCACACTCCACTCTCATTGTGTGAGTTCTGAGGTGGAGTCAGAATACCTGGTAAAACTCGATTCCTTGGTCGGTGATGTAGACAATCTCATTCCAGTTGGTCCAACAGAAACCCAACACGCTGGCGTTCTTCGTCTACAGGAAACACAAATGCTGTTTATTTACAACTCAGCAAAGCTCCGTCACAGAGCGTTGAAATTTATTCAGATTCTTTTTCAGTTGCGACACAAACTCCAGCTCTCTCCTCACAGCTGAACTTCTTCTTATCTGAAGACTACACGTGTGACATACCTTACATTCCTGGGTGAACTCTGTGTGAGGATAGTCGGGTATGAAGTTGATGAAATCCTACAAATAAAATCAAAAGTGAATTAACTCTGCGCTCGTCGTTCAGGAGGAAAGATTCGTAATTAATAAACCAACGTTACGACAGGAACGATCTTTCAATGAAGGAAGAGTTCACACGAGGACTTAATGACTTTATAACCTCTGAGAAAACATCATCAGTTTGATTTAGAAGAACTCACCACAGATTTTGACGTTCTCTGTACGGCCAAGATTTTATTTCCAATAGAAAACTTGATGCACTTCACTTCTCCTTTATCGTCCATCCTGAGCAGAAAAACAGACCAACATGATTCACTGTGTGAATCATTTTCGTGTCCTCCGACTCCATTAATCAGAGGACTTGATTTACCGGTTACTGTTAAGACTGAGGTTCTACAGGATAAGTGTTTGTGGATTGTGACAGATCCGAACTAAGTAGTCTAGTTTCCAGCAGAAGTTAACGCACCTGAAGGCAACGCTGCTCTTGTCATCTGGACCTTTGACGACCACACCAGTGGCTCCACCTGAACGCACCGCAAACACCTGCAGCCACAACACAGGGCAAAAGTTTCCACGTTAACTACGTCATCGTTCAACACGTCTTCATTAAACATCCACAAACCATGAAAACTCAATTTAACTAATAACAATAATAATAATAAATAGTATTTCAGTGTAAAAACAACTAACAGACACACACACACAGACACAAACACACACACAGACAGACAGACAGACACACAAACACACACACAGACAGACACAAACACACAGACACACACACACACACA